TGCGCCAGTGAGCTTACTCCTGTGTTCACTGACATTTTCAACACCTCTCTGCAGTCCTGCCATGTCCCGGCCTGCTTCAAATCCTCCATCATTGTCCCCGTCCCGAAGAAGCCCAGGATCACATGACTCAACGACTACAATACAATACAAAACAATTTATTCTTGTATAGCCCTAGGTCACAACAGAAGTCATCTCAGAGGACTTAACAAAACCATTGAAATCACCAACACAGGTCAGAGAATCAACAGTTAAAACACATGAAGAATATAAAGCACACACAGAAGAAAATGTCCATACATGTTGTAGAATGCTAAAGTGTCCTGATCATCACCAATCCTTTCTGTTGGACACTAACTGTCCAACAAGACCCTCCTGCATCGACAAGGAAAAACTCTTAAAAAACCCAGTGGGAAAACGTGAGAAACCTTGGGGAGCACTAGGGAAACCCACAGGGAGGGAGACCCATATGAGAAAGGGATCCGCTCCTCCGGACGGACAGGCTAATGATCTAGGACCTAAGCTAGCTACAGAACGTGGACCAGTGGCCGCTGAACGTGGACAGGTCCGGTGCAGGACCAAAGCACTCCCAGGCGGGTCGGGCGGGGCAGTCCGCAGGTGTAGATGGAAGAGGCCAGGCTCAGAGATCCCGTCATCGTACCATGAAACAGACAATGGGACAACGGGTGAATAGCAATGAACAAACTACAGTCAGAATCCTAAAAATGCTAAACAGATAAAGTAGGAAGGAGGAGAGGATAGTGCTCAAGTTACCATACTTCTCCCAGCAAACTGACTCCCTATGCAGCTTGACTGACAGTGTGAGGAGTTTAACCTTCTCAGAGTCTTACCTTTCTAGCCATATGCTAAACTAAAGAGGACTGTTTTAAACCTAGCCTTGAATAAAGAATAACATACAGCATAATATATAACATAATATACAACATAACACAATACATTATTGAATAATATATAACATAATATATAACATAATACAGCATATATATATAATATATACACTACATATATATATATACCTAATTATATGCTAAATTAAAGTAAAGTGCTTTAAGCCTGGCCTTGAATGTGGAGACCGTATCTGCTTCCTTAACATAAATGGGAAGCTGATTCCACAGTAAAGGAGCTTGGTAGCTAAATGCTCTGCCACCAACAGTCTCCTTTGAGACCTTAGGGACCACCAGACGTCTGGCGTTTTGTGAGCGCAACGCTCGACCTGGTTGATACGACACTAACGTGTCTTGGAGATAAGAGGGAGCCAAGCCATTTATGGCTTTATATGTTAAGAGTAGGATTTTAAACTTTATTCTGTACTCCACAGGGAGCCAGTGGAGTGATTTTAACACCGGAGTTATGTGCTCCCTCCTTTTGGTACCTGTTAAGATCCTAGCTGCTGTATTCTGAACGAGCTGGAAGCTCTTCAAAGAGGCTTTAGGGCACGCTGCCCTTTTAATTGAACCTTGGCTCTAGTACTTTTGCCAGGTGATTCGGATGTGAGCTTAGACCGAACTAGAGTTGAGCAAGATGAACTCAGTCCAGTCAGACAAACTGCATCTCCGCTCCGGTCGGTGTAGTAGGCTCCTGTAGCGCCCTTTTTCCTGTTTTTGATTGTCCTCGGTGTTCGAAGTGAGTGGCTCACTTCATAATTGACTCACATTTTCCCCAAAACACCCGTTATATTAAAACTCACTCGCTTTGGAATATCTGAGCCCAACCAAACAACCGCTCACGGCGAACGACGCACTTGGATTATATTTGGTGTTTTGTGCGCTTCGCGGAACTCTGACATTTGTGTCAACCGTTTGAAGTGGACACTTCGAAGCCAAACAGAACTTATAGCCTTGCTAATTATGTCAAATTTGTTGTATGTCATTGTTCGTCAAAGTCTCTTTAAATTCAATACATGTGGTGGTACATCTGCAAATTTTTTCAACGGTGTTTCAGTGTGTCTCTCCCCACTCTTAGAGCCGAACAGGGACTTCTGATTTTTAGCCCCGAACTCGTAGTGTGTGTGTCCAAATAATACCTACCTGTAATAGATTAGCGTAGCCAACATGCTAACACTCGGCTTAAAACTGTCCATCTTAGTTTAGCAATATGGCTAGGAATGGTAACGCCTCTGTGCAGGACTAAACTCTTCATACTAGTCAGTCAAGCAGCATATTGAGTCAGTTTCTGGGAGAAGTATGGTAACTTGAGCACTACCTCTCCTCCTTCCTACTTTAACCTGTTTAGCATTATAGATTTTTGACTGTAGTTTGTTCATTGCTATTCACCCGTGTCCCAATGTCTGTTCATGGTACAATGACGGGACCTCCGGACCTGGCCTCCTCATCTACACCTGCGTACTGCCCCGCCCTACCCGCCTCGGAGTGCTTCAAAACTGCACCGGACCTGTCCCACTGTCACGGCCACGGTCCACGTTCTGTAGCCCAACTTAGTCCTGGTTCCATTAGCCTGTCCGTCCGGAGGAGCGGAACCTTTCTCAACTGGGTCTCCATGGGGGGGGGGGTTTTTATTTTTCTTCACTTTTCCCACTGGGTTTTTTTAAGAGTTTTTCCTTGCCGATGCAGGAGGGTCTAGGTTGGACAGTTGGTGTCCAACAAAAGATGTGGTATCGATCCAGGACACATTAACATTCGACAACATGTATTGGGACGATTTTTGTGAGTGTGCTTTTATCTATTTTCATGTGTTTTAATTGTTGAATCTCTGAACTGTGTTGGATGATTTTCAATGGTTTTGTTAATTCCTCTAGATTTACTCTGTTGTGACTTAGCGGCATACCTAATAAAATTGAATTGAATTGAAAAGGAACGGTAGTGGACGCGTCGAAGGTAAAGGAGAGCAGTAGTGCCCGTGTGATGGTGCACTCGGGGCAGTGACCCCGAAGCTGGAGTATGTTACAGCGGATCCCTGGAACACCCTCCGCTGTGGGGAAGTGTCTTCCTAAGGACACAAACCACAGTTTGGCACTTTACAGCCGCAGCCGCCCCACATGTGGGCACCGGGTGTTCCCAGAGGTCTCCCAACACAGCACTAACCAGGCCTGTCCTGATTAGCTTCAGAGGCCACATGTACTACGTTTCAATCTGTGTTTGCACTTTGGTAAATCCCAGTCTGAGGTAAACACTGTTTTTTGGACTGCTTGTTCATAAGTTCTAACACCATCACATTCATCAGCCAATCAGAGGAGAGCTCTGTGTCTCACATTAACATCTACTGTATAAATGTGGAAAAATCATCATCATTACAAGAGTTCCGACTGTTTTGTGTGTTAAGAATGCCAACTTTTCAAAAGGTAAAAGTGAACGCACTGGGTCCTGAAGCTCCAAAGGCTGTTGTTCAAAGTGGGGTGCGTTGACATGTCCACAGGGGAAACAGTGACTGGTTTTAGAGTCTGATCAAAGTGTATGTGGAAATTCGTGAAATGTTAATGAATATAAATGAGGCCTAAACACTGAGATGGTCAGAGGGAAGTGCTTTATGAAACATACAAGACTTACTTAATAAACTTATCCACATCTTATTCCACCCACAAACTTGCTGTACTTGAAATAATAAAGTCTCAATAAACAAAACAATACATAATTACATTGGCTTTTTCCACAAGACCAAAACTCAAACCCGTTCCTTCACAAAACCCAAGTAAAAATGTTCTCTCAGTTTCCTCAACAGGCCACAGGAAAAAGTACTGTAAGCACATTTCAGAATTTAACAATAGTCTTCACACTAACAGAGTCATGATTTAAACAATAATGGTATTCACGCTAACAGAGATAGTAAATACACAATAATGTATTCAATTCCAGCTGAGCCCCTTCTCTCAAAAAAAGGTTGAACAATAAATCAAGGTAGGTCCAGTTGGGTCGTTACAGCATCAGATGGGAGAAAATCAGTTTTAAAATGCAGAATTAACTGAACAAAACATCGATGCTTTAAACGTCGTGAGCGGCTGTATTTAGATTTTCACTTTGCTGCTAAAAAATATCCTTTGTGGCTATTTTACAGGCGGTGGGTCTGTTTTAGGGTTCATCCAGAAAGCGATGGAAGCGCAGTGCCCCCTGGTGAAGAAACAGAACTATTTCAGAAAAAAGCGAAAGACTCAGGTTTGCCCCTCGTGACTCCCCCTTATTAATCCAAAATGGCGGCTCCCCACATCGGTGAGTTCACCACAGGGCTCTATAATAATACACATTATGGACTGTTTTTAACGCCTAAAAACACTCATATCTGGATTTAAATGGATTGATGTACTCTGGTATTTTTATGTTTTTTAAAGGAATCGTATCTTTATGGTCCCTAACGCAAGTGGTATTTTGTTTGTAACAACAAACTTAATAGTACTTTCAGTCATGTATAATTGTATATAATTAAATTAAATAATTATGTACAAGATACATTAAAAATCCGAGACACAGGACGGACGCAATACTGTAAATTTACTACACAAAGTCATTCATTTCTATCATAATAACAAGCATAGGTTATAATATTGCCACATTTTAGACACTCAAAGACTCGGCTTCACATCAATTCATTCACACCATAGATCAGTGGTGATAACCTATTACAGCAGACTAACAGCTGCCCCGGGCACCCCAGACAGAAGTAAGGCAAGTACTATGCCATTGGCCGCAGTGCCTGCCCTGCTTAGCTTCTGGCCTTTGTTGTAATCACGTTTTTGCCCTTTATAGAAAGTGAGTACCTGGTAATACTATGTACAAGTCTTTTAATACATGGAGCAGTCCAATGGCTCTGATTCCTGTGAGTCCTAACCATGGATTAAAATAGTAGACTGGATAGAGTATTACTATCTAGAGCTTGTCCACCCATGGCACAGGGTGCGCTGTGTGTTGCAGTAAATTCAAACGTAGGCAACCCAGAAAAAAGTCCCATAGATGCAAATGTAAACTAAAACAGCTCCACACTCACCTGACAGAGAACCTGAAGAAACCCTGACAAGGACCTGACAGAGAACCTTATGAGGACGACAGAGGAACCGACAGAGGACCTGAACAGAGGACCTACAGAGGACCTGACAGAGGACCTACAGCTTTCAAAAAGGTCAGATTATGTGGGGATTTTTAGTGTTCCTTGTCATCCTGAACTTTTTTCGTCTTAAATCCGTCGTATTCTTTTAAATCCCCACTTTTAGTGCCACAAACAATGCTTTCCCTTTCCTTCCCGCTCAGACTCCGCACTGCGCTGCTCTTGATCACACTCTGATTGGTCAGAGCGCGGCCGAGCCCTCTGTGCACGTTCATGAGAGCCACACACGCGTATTTGGCACAAAGCATCATGGGAGCACGTCCACTGAGCAGACCAGGGATGGCCCAACGATGCCCAAATATAGGCGATTTCAGTAATCTCCCATTCTCCGTTACCTCCCATTAACCACTGAGCACAAGCCATTCAATTATAGGGCGCCATCTTGGATCACCGTGCTTGGTCCTGACACATGTTCAGCTGATCTTCTCTGTCTCTGTTCCAGACGTCGTACAGAGGTTGCAGACGGCTCGCAGTCTCCAGTCTCCTGCCTGAGTCCCATTCTGAGTCCCAGTCTGAGTCCCATCGCCTGCTGAGCTCTAGGCTGTGGACAAAACCTCGGTCTGGCCTCCTGGCCAAAGTAAAAACAAAAAAAAATCCTCATAAAGCGCTTCACGACGTTGGGAGGCGCTGTTAGTGGACGAAACAGTTTAAAAAGAGACGACTCCTGAATAAAAATTGTGTGAGGACAAAACACTAAGTTGTTTGATAATAAGGTTTTATATGTTTATTGTATATTAAGATATATTATAATATAAATATTAGTGATAGGCAATAGGAAGCCCAATGATGCATGAGGGTTTTGCAGCCTATTATAGGCCCATGTTCGAAGGCTCGAGGTGAATCAAATGCACCACTACGCAACTGTGGACAAAAAAATACATAACACTTAAGGTCTTACATTGAAGAGGTGAGATTTAAAGTTAAATTTATATTTACATCTCTCTCCTCATACATGGCAGCGGGTGACAAAGAGTCCGACTCCGCAAGTCCCTTGCGGGTCTCCTCAACAGCATCTGTCTTGATGGCATGGAAAAGATTTCATTGGGCCTTGGTGCATGTGCGACTAAAGCACCAGGATCCAGAAGGTACCTGATAGAAATATTGTTAATGTTAATTGTAAAATGAGCATATTGAAAATTACAATTCAATTAATAATTAAGGCTACATTCCGTAGAAGGCCTACCTGTACAAAGACACTAGGTTCTTCTGTCTTCGCTGGGTGGACCTGCTCTCAATTGCATCTCTCATCTCTTGGCTCAGTCGAGTCTCCTGCTTTCTCAGCTGATCAATCATGAAAATAAAAATCCCATCTGCCTTAATGAGAGTGGTGTCTCGCTTACACAGAGATTCGACTCCCATCCTCACCGGTTTCAAGCAGGAGCTCAGTTGTTTTATAAGCGCGAGCTGCTCGTTGGTAATTATTAAAGCAGGATTAATGTCAATGAGTGTCTTGGACACTGTTTTATGGAGTGCAATGTAGCGATCCAACATATCAGCCAGGCTGTTCCAGCGGGTACGGCAATCCAAAATGAGCACTAACTCTTTCCCATGATCTCGTTTGGTGCATTCTCTCAGCTTGTCATTACTGACAGGTGACTTGTGGAAATGCCTGGCAATTTTTCGGACTCGCTCCACACTCATGAACATTTCTTCTCTCACCCTGACTGACCGATAGCCACCATCCACACACTCGGCAGAATCTTCATCAGACTCTGGGCCACTGTCCTCCTCTTCCTCGCTTTCAGTCTTCATCACTCTCTCAGGGACAGCCAGCTCTTCTCGGTGAACACGCGGGTAGAGCACATCTGTGACAGCCAGGTGAACAGCATATCTCCATCAGTAGTGCAGCACACAATATTTTGCTCCATGTTAAGCTTGAATCTATGAAGATGAGAGTCAACCAACTCTTATTTTCTCAGCTGGCATTGTTCCATTAATGTTAACGACACTTAGATTCCAGTATGTGTGTGCGCCATGCACGTTTATGCTCATGAACCTTTTACGTTGTGAAGATGTATATTCGTCAATGGTCAAAGAAAAACGCATCCCTCGCTTCACCATGTCTTGGAATATATCGGCCAGTTGTTGTTTTTTTTCATTAGCAAAACCCCTAACCTGTTGGGAGATTTCAGAGGGATTCTTGGGGAGAATATGTCCATCTCTCTTAAGTGCTGATCTGAGATAGTCGCTTTTTGCCATACTATTAAAAGTCATCCCCGCTAGTATTTCACCAAGCGTCTTGTTGCTAGCTTTGCTAAAGTAGCCATCTAGCGTTTTTACACGTTTTGATGATGGGCTTTCTTCACAAACGTTACGATGCTGAGACTCTAAATGTCTGCGCAAACCACTTGTCGACCCCCCAGAACACCTGACAATCCGGTCACACAACATGCACTTTGCGTGTTCATTATAAAGTTTTGTAAAATGCTCCCATACAAAGCTGGCCGTAGACATCCTCACTCCTCAGGCGGCAGATAGATACTCCCGCTGCTGCGTGCGTAAGCTAATGAATGCAACGTTACCGACAACAACAATAGACGCGCGCTCCAATAGGAGCGCACTGGATTTTTAAAAAACTTTCATTTCCCGGGAATCGGGAAATAGTTTTGATCACATTTCCCGAGAATACCGTCTCCCGGGATTAAACCCTAGTGGGCAGAGGAACTTTACAACACACACACACGACCCCCAGCTCCATGCCCAGCCCCTACCGGCAGTATACTCACTTCCTCTGCCAGACTGGAAGAACGCACCAACATCATTTTGCATTTTAACAGCAGCTGTGAAAATGGAAACTGAACCTAGAGCTTTGCGTGGTCTCGTTTGGACAAACGAAGGAGTACAATCCTCCTCTGGGCAGCCCTCGAAGCCCACGAAGCAAGTTAGTGTACCCGCCGCCATTGTTGTTTACGTTTGTTCTCCGCTACTGCGCATGTCCAAATTTACATGCAGGGAGCAGCAGCAGATAATTCACACCTTTTTCCCTCACGCGGGGAGCGCTGTGCAGCGTTTGAGTTGTCCCACTCTGCAGGCTGGATCTGAACACTTACGTTTTCACCCCCCTGGAACACAGTCTTCGTATGAACGGTTGGTAGCAACCGACATCCAACTATAGCGTTTTACTGCCACATTGTCTCCGTGTAAACGACCCCATAAACACATCTAAGGTGTGTTGAGATGTGGTAGGGAGCAGCACAAATAGTAATCTGTGCTAATTGTGTGGGATATCACAAAGCTGGACTAGTTTGCTGCATTCCTGGATGCTAACGCTTAGTGAAAGTCTTATTTTTTCAGCGTAGATAACAAAGTGCTATTTTGTATTTCTCTGCTTCGGCTGATGCAATCCCGCATTATACTCAATAAACACGGTCTGCTCCCTGCAAACTAAACACACAGCTTTACCTCCAACTTTAGCAGTAAATACTTAGCAGCATATGTTTTGTCCTGCCTTTCTTTATCATGAGCGGAAGTGGTTGAGGGTGAGTGACAATCCAGATGAGTCATTGTTTTTTTGTTGTTTTTTTTTATTTATTCATTTGACAGGGACAATGTAGTCATACATAGTTACATTATGAAAATGCAGCTGATGCGACACACACAGAGTGTATAGCTAATGCTAATTTTCAACTCCTGTCCCTGGTTGAGCTTTTCAACCAGTATTGATATGTCATAAAAGTATTGACCAAGACAATATCATGATATAAACACCAGGATAACAGAGAGCACTAAACCACAGATTAAAGCCCGAAATGGTGAGTGTGACATAACGGTGACTGAGCTAGAGAAGCTTAGCCAGAGCAAGTTGGAGCCAAACGTTACCATGAGGACTTCCCTAATGGGCCTTATTGAGCTTGTGGATTAGCATCTTCTTTAAACAGTCTGTGCTTCTACACATAAATTCCAGTATTTTCTTCTTCTCTTGTTTCAGATCATTTCTCGGCGTCGGCTCTAAATTTAAAAATTCTGAATTTTGTATGGAAAGTTTGGAAAGTTTGAACCAGAAACTGTACCATGCCCTGACAACGGCCACTACACACTGTACGAGTCAATCAGAGGAGAGGACACTGGCCAATCCCACTACACACTGTACAGGCCAATCAGAAGAGGGGACGCTTACGACTTCCCCGCTAGAGTGTACGGACCAATCAGAGGAGAGGACACTGGCCAAGCCCACTACACACTGTACAGGCCAATCAGAAGAGGGGACGCTTACGACTTCCCCGCTAGAGTGTACGGACCAATCAGAGGAGAGGACACTGGCCAATCCCACTACACACTGTACAGGCCAATCAGAAGAGGGGACGCTTACGACTTCCCCGCTAGAGTGTACGGACCAATCAGAGGAGAGGACACTGGCCAAGCCCACTACACACTGTACAGGCCAATCAGAAGAGGGGACGCTTACGACTTCCCCGCTAGAGTGTACGGACCAATCAGAGGAGGAGACACTGAGTGAGTTCGCTCTCCGATTGGAGGACACAGAGATGGAGGTCGACCAATCAGAACTTTTAAATGGTTCTAAGGAGGCGGAGCTAAACAGACTATTAGAGTGAAGAGAAGCAGGACTATGAACTGTGGGCCCATCAGAGAGCTGAATGCTCTGATAAACTGTGAATGAATTTTGAGTTTGAGGATTTGGAAAAAATAAATGATGGAAAATATAAACGTGAAAGAGTTGTTTTTAATCAAATATAGACCCTGTAGTCAGGCAGAGTCATTCTCTCTCTATCTCTGGTCTCTGATCTGTCTGGTCTTTCTATCTGGTCTTCTTTGGTCACTCTTTTTATCTCTGGTCCTTCTTTCTGGTCTCTCTCTCCCTGGTCTCTTTGTTCTGTCTCGTTTCTCTCTCTGGTCTCTCCAGTTTGGTCTCCAGTGAATAAAGTGTAAACTGTGATTACTGAAAACGCTACAATTCCCACAATGCACCGGTGATGCCGCTCAGATTAAAGGATCAGGACGTCAGGCGCCTGCAGTATTTTGCATGTTCTGCCCATGTCTGCTGGGATCAGGATCACGGTAGGGGTACGTCACAATAAATCTGAGGTCTGTAACTTTCAGACCACACCAACAAAACTCTGCATTAAACATTTGCTTCTATCACTATTATCCACATAATGTATTTCTGGCCTCTGTCACATCTTTAATCAGCTTTTTCAGACAGAAAATGGAAAAATGGAGGACAACCCTCACACAGCCTATCAGCTTAAAGAGTAAAATAGTGACTTCTAGGGCTCTATGCAGCGGTGTCACCTGTCTGGGTTTTCAGTTTATTGTTATTCATGTGTTTTGTTGGTCGCACGCATCTATCATCCTCTGCTCTCATTCCCCCCCTCTCCCCTGTCCTTTCCCTCCTCTCTCCCACTTTGCCCTCTCCCCGCTCTCTCCCGCTCTAAGTGGAAACAGCTGCAGATCCAAACTCTTTCTCACACTATAAATATGTCTTTTGTTGTGACTGTGTCCAGATGTCGGACTGAAGACCTCACGGAGCTGTCCCTCCGTATGGCTCTGAGCTTGGCCCCTTCATGCCATGCTCTGCTGAACTAGAGCATGGAACTGAGGACAAGACATTTTGGCTCTTATGAACACCCCTCACACCCCCCCCCCCCCCCCCCCCCCCCCTCTGGTCTCACACTCCCATGGTTGAACAGACTTGTGTCCATCTCATCATGTCCCTGTGTCTCCTCCCTGCTCTCGCCCCTCCCACCTCCCCCATGGTCCTCCTCCTCTCTTTTCCTTACTCCTTCAATCTCATCATGTCTCTCTGTGCGGTTGGACTCCTCTGTCTCCTGTCTCTTCTCTCTGGTAAGTTTTAAACTTCATCTTGTGTGTGTTTGTGTGTGTACATACTAACACTGCTCTCCTTCAGTGCTCCATCCCCAGTGTCACATACAGGTGTGGCAGCATCATGCTGTGTAGTAGTAGCAGTAGTGGTAGTGGTAGGTGGGAAACCTGTGGGCGTAGATTACATCATTACTTCCTGTATCTTAAACCATTATAAACATGGTTCAATCACAGTGCGGCAAACTAAATCCTCATAGCTGTCAATCAAAGGTGTAGATCCAGGAAGACTGGTGTGGAAGGAGCTGATTAGAGCTGACCCACACATGCTCCACGAGGATTCGAGCTAACTCACTCATGCTCCATGAGAGGCTTTTGGAGTCTGTATGGAGCCGGAAGTGTAAACAGATGTTTCTTGGATCAAACTCGGGTGGAAACGTACACAGACACACAGAGAAACACACACACAGTGACAGAGAGGGAGAGACACGCACAGAGAGGGACAAACGCACACTGCGACACAAAGGGAGACACGTATAGAAACACACACACACAGCTGGAGTCCATGAGGTTCTCTTTATGTTCAGGAGGTGAGGGGAGGAGTCCAGATCTTGAATACAACCAGGAGGACAACCAGGAGGACAACCAGGAGGACAACCACACCATCTACTACAGCTTCTACAGTGAGTGCGACCTGTACCCTGACCCTCGTCTCGGCCTGCCTCTTCATGGTCTTGTTGTCATGGTTACAGGTAATGCGTCGGATCTGGAGTTGGATGAGTTCCTAGATTCTCGTAGTGAAAGCGAAATGCCTTCGCCAACATTTACTATAGCTACCAGAGCCGGGGCCGGAGCCAGAGCAGCCGCGTCACTTCCTCTCTGCTTGGTGAGTCACATGACACATCAGAGAGGGAGACCACTGAGAGAGAGGCCAGAGAGAGAGAGGCCAGAGAGAGAGAGGCCAGAGAGAGAGAGAAGCCAGAGAGAGAGAGAGGCCAGAGAGAGAGAGAGGCCAGAGAGAGAGAGAGGCCAGAGAGAGAGAGAGGCCAGAGAGAGAGAGAGGCCAGAGAGAGAGAGAGGCCAGAGAGAGAGAGAGAGGCCAGAGAGAGAGAGAGAGGCCAGAGAGAGAGAGAGGCCAGAGAGAGAGAGAGGCCAGAGAGAGAGAGAGGCCAGAGAGAGAGAGAGGCCAGAGAGAGAGAGGCCAGAGAGAGAGAGAGAGGGCCAGAGAGAGAGAGAGAGGCCAGAGAGAGAAAGAGGCCAGAGAGAGAAAGAGGCCAGAGAGAGAAAGAGGCCAGAGAGAGGCCAGAGAGAGAGAGAGAGCCAGAGAGAGAGAGAGGCCAGAGAGAGAGAGAGAGGCCAGAGAGAGAGAGAGAGGCCAGAGAGAGAGAGAGGCCAGAGAGAGAGAGAGGCCAGAGAGAGAGAGAGGCCAGAGAGAGAGAGAGGCCAGAGAGAGAGAGAGGCCAGAGAGAGAGAGAGAGGCCAGAGAGAGAGAGAGGCCAGAGAGAGAGAGAGGCCAGAGAGAGAGAGGCCAGAGAGTGAGAGGCCAGAGAGAGAGAGAGGCCAGAGAGAGATATATTTGTTTCTCATATATTTTCACTAAAACATGACACAAAGTAAAGTTTAATTATGTTTAAAAGACTAAATCAATGTGTGATATTCTCCTTTAATATGACTCTGTGTTTGCAGGTCTGCTCTGTGCTGTGGTGTCTCGCTGGGGTTTTACTGAACTCAGCATCTGCACCAGGACTTTGACTGAATCAGGTCTGGACCAGGACTAAAGCAGGTCTTAATAAGGACTGAAGCAGGTCTTAATCGGGACTGAACAAGGAGTGAACAACGTTTTCTCTTTCAGCCATAGAGCTGTAATTTCCCCCTGTCTCCAGCAGAGGGTGCAGTCAGATCATGGTTCTGATGAACAACTAAAGACTGGTTCAGTCCTGATTCATTTCTGGTTCATTCCTGGTTCAGACCTGGTTCTGACCTGGTTTAGTCCTGGTTCAGATATGTTTGAACACATTTGCACTAAGAGTCTTGATGATGTTTTAATGGTTTAAATAACTGAAGTGATCCTTTATTCCCACAGTGGGGAAATTTCAGTGTTGCAACTTGGATCACCAGCTACAGAACAGTAGGAATGAGGAGCACACAAGATAAGTGAATGCTAAGAATGAAGTACAGCACAACTCTGGCACCAAAGAGTTATTTTAGTTGAGAGATGATTGGCCGGGCTTATCTGCAAAAACACATTAATATATCTATCCTTTGACGATTTTGAATTACTGCATCCTCGAGTGCAAGAAATATATACGCTTTTGTATACATCTGCAGATAAATCAACCAAATGTCTCTTCTTGTGAATAAAGAGTTTAAAAGTTGTTGTGACTTTTTATGCCCTAAAATCACATGGAAGGAGTTCAGAGTAAAGCCGCTACTCCTCCACATGGAGAGGAGCCAGTTGAGGTGGCTCGGGCCTCTGTTTAGGATGCCTCCTGGACACCTCCCTGGGGAGATTCTGGGCATTTCCCACCAGAAGGAGACCAGGGGAAGACTCAGGACACAGAGGGACTGTGTCCCTCAGCTGGCCTGGGAACACCTCAGAATTCCCCCAGATGAGCTGGAGGAAGTGTGTAGAGAAGAAAGTCTCAGCTTAGACTGCTGCCCCTGCAATGATTGGATGGATAACAAACACATGGATCCAATTGTCTTACAGGTGATACAACTCTGTTTAACATAGAGAAGAATATATTAAAGTGTGTGTACATACTAGAGAACTAAAGCAAAGGAAGATTTCTCACCCATCATCTGTACTTCTTAGCAGGATTTCCAGACGTTTCGTCTTTTTCAAGTGAATGAAATCTCAGGCCGCACGTTGGAGATTTATCATTTATGGGTGTGGTTAGACACACCCCAATCCTGAGGCTAAAGCATAAACACATCTAAGCTCTGTTAAGATGTGGAAGGGAGCAGGTCTAACAACCCTGCTGAGGCTAACGACCCTAACTCATTAGCATGTCACAGACCTATTGTCTGCTGAGAGTGCTCTAGTGGAGTGCAGGTTTAACCTCTCCTAACTCATTAGCACGTCACTGACCTTATCTATTGTTATGGCATTGTTTTTAGGACATCATCATAGATGCCAGGCAAAACAAATATTAACCCGCCTCCTCTTTTAAGAGAAGGTTTGTTTTTCCTCACAAAAATGGCTTCTTTCACCCCTCTCTCAAACCAATTTTTGTCTCAAACCAGAATTTTAGCCTATGTGTTGTTCACGGTTTGGTTGGAGGCCTTGAGGTGGAGATGAACAGCCAGTTGTGGCCCATTAAAGTTTTCTCTACGATGTTGGTAAAGTCCCTTCTATAGAGTTTTAGTTTTTTCCAATATAGTGGTCAGTGCACTCTTCTTCACTACATTTAATTGAATACACCACATTGCTCTGTTTGTATCTGGGTGTTTTGTCTTTGGGATGCACCAATTTCTGTCTTTAAAGTGTTGAAAGGTTTGAGAGCTGCTCCACTCGAGCAATCTCAGCTGACAATAGGTCTGTGTGAGTTAGGATTGTTAGCCCTAGCAGGGTCGTTAGACCTACCACATCTTAACTCACCTTAGATGTGTTTATGAGTTAGTATCAGGATTAGGGTGTGTCTAACCACACCCATAGGTTATAAATCTCCAACGCGCGGTCCGAGATTTCATTCCCTTGAAAAAGTCCTTTGGATTACAGACAAGACATCGGGGAAAACCTGTTAAGAAGTACAGGTAATGGGTGAGAAACCTTCCTTTGCTTTGACTAATCTCTAATTTAGTGCTTATCACTAAAATAACACCACATCTAAAGTGAAGCATAGGGGTGGCAGCATCATGCTGCTGGACCTGGGGTGGAGGGATTTATTGTAATAGATCCATGGGATTTATGAACACGTCCTAATACCTGTTAGTGTTTGCACAAAACCTGTCTGTGTGTGTGGCCCTGGAGCAGAGCAGCGCACCCTGCTGGCCTCTGTCAGTCTGACACTGATGTGACGAGTCAGCCCCGTGTTTGGAGAGTCACTCACAACAGGAGGCTTCACAGTAATGATGATGAACGAGCCGCCAATCATCCTCGCCATGGAGACGGACAGCAGCTTCAGCACCAGATCTCATCCTTAAAGTGTGACATCACCACAGTGTTAGCCTTATTGCAGAAGAGGCTGATTGTGTTAGCTTATCAGGGGCAGACGTGTTGCTAAGACGGTTCCTAAGGCAAGCTGGAGTTTCTTTTGTGAATGAAGGCCTCTGATTGGTCAATCCTTACATGGCTCATATGTGGATTTACAAGACAATATCACAACATAAACACGAGGATCACAGAGATCCAAACTTCCCCTGAGCATTTCTTTATAGAGCTTTTTTGAGCTAGTGGGTTAGCTTGCATTTAGCTGGAGGGTTAGCACTGAGCTAGCTGGTTAGCATTTTCCATCTGTATAGTCTGTGGTTTGGATCCACGTCTTTTTGTTGTTAACTCCTTTTTAATTCCTTTTTAACACTGAAAAGTGTTTTCTGACAGAGCAGGGCCTTCACAGCCACTTGTGGCTTTTGTTGACAGTGATGAATGACGTGTCAAAGGCAGACCTCGAGTTTGAGTCGAGTGACGCAGGACCCCCCTCAGGGCCACTGACTTATGCAGAGTTGGTCTTGTCCTTGTGATGAACATGAATAAAACAGTTCTCAGAGTGAGAGGAAAATATGTTAAATATGTTTGAATCCTGCAGGCTCCGCTCAGACCACACAGTCTGTGCCATACATGTACACATGAGCAATACACACTAAGGTTGCGGTCACAAGCTCAACCTAAAGCTCAATGAAAGTGGGCCTAGGCCCAGATGGCGATAAGATCCAGGCATTAGCTGCCATGTGACCGGGCCTGAGCGTGGTTGTTGAGCCCAGAGGAGGGTGTTTGATGTGGTGGGGACGTGATATTGTGCGTCACATTATGTCTTCCTGCTGCGCCCGCTGTGACGTGCACATACACATTTTCTCACACACGTTTGTACCTGTAGTCACATACTTTTGCATTCTCCCTGCTTGTGTTACACATTTTACGTAAGGCCCCGGACCATGGTCGAGGGGCGCAGGGGAGATTTGTAGCTCCAGGGCCGAAAGGATGAGTTCCCAGGGGATAACAACCCTCTGTTTTGACCCTCGCGGTCACTGTGTCATATCATTCCAATTAAACTTCGGACGGAAGAGTCAGACTTTATTTTCTCACAAAAACACACCAACATACCCTTGTGTCCTGCCTGGCTCCAATCGGTCTGCTCCAGGGCTGGACTGGCCATTGGAGCGTAACGGGCAATGCCCATATTTGGGCCGGCCTGTCTGCCTCATACAAAAAACATGTTTGTGAAAAGTTTAAATCTGTTTAAATCGAGTATGTACTCGAACGGGATTCCACCACCTCAGGGGCCGCAGTTTTCCTGGGCAGCTGCGGCCGCTTTGTAATGAGCGGTTCCCGCGTCCAGCCGCTCCACCAGCGCTCAGCCTCAACGTGGCCATGTACCCAAGACCATAAACGTGCACAGGACCATTCTCTGCTTGTTGTGTGCGTGTCTATGAGTAATCTGTGCACCCAATAAATACACTGCTGCAGGAAACAGTCCGCGTCTCCCCTCTCCTCTCGAAGCGCGATTAAACGCCCTAAATTAAAGATCAGGTACCTACATTTTCCATTGCATTAAAAGTTCATGTTTGAGCTCAAAAGTAATATGTTGTGAACAAATTAAACAGATTTAGAGCCAGCAAATGGCTGACAATATGCATTTCAGACTTTTTTGAGCAATTTTCATATCTGTAACAAACAATAGTGTTGTCTGTGTCCACCTCCCTCACTCTGAGACATGTTTATTACCCTCTTGTAATGTAGACTATTGTACTTTATTTTATTGTTAAAACTGCACATATCCTGATCCTCTACAGTATTTGCTTCCACATACTGTATAAACAAACTGTAAAAAAACATGCCTGGGTTGTCAAGAAGGCAAAAATGCCCGGGCCGTTTTTTGGTCCCAGTCCAGCCCTGGTCTGCTCGTACGCCACACTTTTCATTATTTCATTCTCATTACCCACTAAGCTGATGCACATTGGAGAAAGGCACATCTCACATCATTGGCCACAGTAGCCTTGTATAAACAGGAAAATAAAAGGAAACTTAACTTGGACAATAGTTACTGAAGTGTTGTAAAACACCTGCATTTGGTCTGGCATGGTTGAAAAAGTAAACCCTTCTGACCCCTTCACACCCCTGTGGTTCCATACAAACTTCTGTATGTCTGTGGAGCAGACCTCTGAATCTAAGCAGGGCAGAGCCTGGTTAGTGCTGTGAAGGGAGACCTCTGGGATAGATGGATAGATAGATACTTTATTGATCCCCCGTAGGAGAAATTCAGGTGGCCAGTATAGCAGCCCTTGAGGTCACAGCAGTAGAGATGAAGTAGCCGCTGGGTGGAGCAGAACGAGAAACAAGGTGGAGTAGCCGCTTGGTTAGGACCATTTTCTCTAAAATGCTGAATGTTTCGTGAGCATTTTTCAAAAAGGTTGCGTTCCTGCGGTGGATTTTCACCTGATTCGCTTGGTTCGGACCAAGAATCCTCTGCTTCGGTCTGGACCTGTCAAAAACCATGAACACTGTACTGCAGCAACATCTCAGGTAGAAAAAAGCAGGAAAAATAAAAATGGTAAAGCACAAAACAACAACTGTTTCAGAGCTACTTAGGACTTTCTGCCGTTTCCAGTGCATTCAAAAAAACACCAGTTTAAATTTTGGGTGTACAGTAGATTCCAAATATGCAAGATCCAACGTGGTATTTATGAACGTGTGAGATCCGCCCAGATCTGAGCGTACACACCTGTGCTGCTCATAAATGCCACGGGTGAGGTGAAAACCAACGTATTTATGAATGTCACGCCTATAAATATGCAGCAACTTCCTGTTTCACGCCCCGTTTTTACGACAGGTCAGCATGTATATATATATACGCTATATTCTGTGTTTCCTTTGAACAAAATTGTAAAACCTTTTGATACATTGCAATAATCTCTCTTGAACTTAAGAAGTAAATAAATAATGAATGAATGAATGAAAGAATTCATGGAAATTAATATCTTGACCTCAGGGAAGCGTCTGCAGCCCCTTATTGTAAATGCAATGGAGCTATCTCTGTACACTTGAGAGAGGATGAGAAGCTTTTGGAAAGTTGAGGTAGATTATTTCACAGAGAAACTCTGGATCCAAAACTTCTAAATGACGTGCACCACAGTTGAGAAGTTTTGCGGCGGGACCACCTGCTGTGCACTGCTCAAGGGAGCACTGCCCATCCTAACTGCTACATGTGGACAGGGCAGTGAGACATTTGGAGTGAGCAAGACCAAGTGCGTTTATGGGGTATGTGAGGCTTTCACAAAACTAATGAAAAAATAAATGGCTTTTGCCAGCGCAGGTTCTGCCACAGATTTACAATGGGTCACACATTAAGTTAGTAAGTGAGTCAAGTGTTTTTGTATAGCGCCTTTCACAGACCAGGATCACAGCGCTTCACATTTAAAAAACATACAGATGAAAATTATACACATACAAGTCAGATTTTTAAACGGAGAAACAGAAGAGGGTCCTCATCATGAACGTATCATGAACTGGGATTTATTCCCAGTTTGTGTGTTTCCATTAGAAATTTTCTGATCCGCAGAACTGAGAATTTGTTTATTTTTGTCCAAATATTGAATTTAATGCGTGTTTTGGCGTGTTGAGATGAGCGTACACATTTACACCACCTACGGACTTGGCGTATATTCTGTGCATACCGTACGCCCACGTCCAGATTGATAAATGCCAAAAAGTGTACTTTTTTGCGTACGCCTCATTTACTGTACACCTCATTTGGCCGTACGCAAGTTTCATAAATAAGAGCCATTATCTGAAATGAGCCTGGACTGGCCCAAGACTGGTCCTGTACTAGTCTCTGGTTCAGAGCAATCTCAGTGCTAGTTACCATAGTAACACACTATTTAGTTGACAGCAGTTTGCCTTAGCCTTTCAACAAATTGTTTTTCATCTGTATTTCAGTTACATTCACCAGTTATAGTAAATCAATAATTTTTTGTGAAAGCAAATTATTATTTTTTTCTATTTATTAGAATGAGAGACGTCAAAATGACTGCTCAGGGTGTTCTGGTAGTTTCATTATGGAAGTGCGATTGTTAATGTTATAAATATTATTATGTAGATGTTGTTACAAAGCCTCACACACCGCTACAGCATCAGGTGAATAGAATAGTGAGGTTAGAGGGCCCCTTAATGAGAGCGGCGTTTGTCGTCGGGATCAATAAAGTTCTGAACGTCCCGAACATTAAACAAAGAGCTCTGAGTTCATTAGAGTCAAAGAAGAACACGTGAGCGGCGGCTCGACTATACGCAGCTAGAGGTTTCAAATCACAGACAAAAGTCCAAGATCTACACAAACAGAAGGATTGAATAAGAAAAACGCAAATTGTCTCATCTTTCTCTGGTCACTTTCTGGTCTCTCTCTAGAGAGGCCAGAGAGAGAAAAGAGCAGTGTTTTATATTTACATTTAAACTGCTCCACTGAAACCACTCCTGTATATAATATAATAATAGCTGAAGACATCATAGAGAGACTGATGACATCACAGAGAGACTGATGGCATCACAGTGGGAGATACACATATAGTACATTGCAGGATAGTGATCAGTGATTCGGCAAATGCTTTATATGTCACACCTCCCCCTCCCCAGACGCTTCCCTCTCTCTCCTCTGAAGCCCTGCCTCCTCAGTCCGTCCATATAAGGACTGGACCATGAATCCAGACCCAAAGTCCAGCTGTCTCGTTCCATTTGATTTTACGTTAACTTGAGTCTTGCTCAAAATTTTCCCATATTTAAAATAGATTAATTGATATCTTTTGTAATCTTTGAACTTTCTTAAAAACATTTTTGCGGTTTCTGTGATTGTGTGTGTTGCCATGGAGACGGTGCGTGTGGCCGTGATGCTGCTGCTGTGTGCGTGTGTGCTGTGTCTGGGGCAGAGGTCCCGGGACGAGAGCGCAGTCGCGTCCGCCCTGGGACTGGTGAGTTTCATCATACACAATACTTTCGAGTGTCTCTCTTGGTCCGTCTCTGCTCTCTCTTTCTCTCTCGTTTTTTTCTGGTCTTTCTCTCTCGTTTCTCTCTGGTCTTTCTCTCTAGTCTCTCGATGGTCTATCTCAGGTCTGTGGTTTCTCTCTGGTCTCTCTCTGGTCTCATGGATCTGCACATCTGTCCCCCTCATCTGGGCGACAATGGCTCAGTTGGTAGAGCATTGGCCTTTGGGTCTGAAGGTTGTGGGTTTAACCCCCCCACAAGACCTACTTCTCTGACTCCACTGATGGCTGCTGTTGTTGTGTCCTTGGGCAAGACACTTAACCCACTTTGACCAATAAGGAGCGCAGAAGTAATGTTTGCTGCATGCTTTGATGTGTTAATGTGTATGTGTATTCATCAAACTGAAATTTCCCCACTGTGGGATGAATCTTCTTCTCCTCCTCTTGCTGAGGTCCATCCTCATTCAGACAATCAGCTCTCAGCCCAAAGAGTCAAATAGTGACTCACAGTGCTCTTTCTTCCACATAACATGTTTTCTAAAAGAAAAAGAAGACAGCATTATGTGGAAACTACATGTTATTTATGAGACTAAAGTCACACACCCCAGCTTTAAACATTTGTTTCTTCAGGTCGACGATGTTCTTGACGAGTTCCTGGATGAAGGAAACAGAGCTTTGAGTGTGGAGAAGAAGGCCAGTGTGATCCCCCGGGTAACTGCTGCGACTACTGCTGCTGCTACTACTACTGCTGCTGCTGCTACTACTGCTGCGACTACTGCTGCGACTACTGGTGCTGCTGCGACTACTGCTGCTGCTACTACTACTGCTGCGACTACTGCTACTGCTGCGACTACTGCTGCTGCTACTACTACTGCTGCGACTACTACTGCTGCTGCTACTACTACTGCTGCTGCTACTACTGCTGCGACTACTGCTGCTGCTGCGACTACAGTTGCTGCTGCTACTGGTGCTGCTGCGACTACTGCTGCTGCTGCTACTACTACTGCTGCGACTACTGGTGCTGCTGCGACTACTGCTGCTGCTACTACTACTACTATCTTTACCTGTATTGCTCGTACTGCTACTACTACTGCTGCTGCTACCATTACTGCTAATAATCCAACTGTTGCTAACGCTACAACTCCTTCTACTGGTGCTACTACCACTACTGTTACTGCTAGCCTCTATCCCCTCTCTGTTGACCCAAGCTACAATTTGTGTTTATCTTTTTTCCAATCGTGTTTGTTTTGTTTGTCTCTAGTGCGACGTGGGCGAACGCTGTGCGCTCAAACACGGCCCCAGAATTGGTCGACTCTGCGATTGTCTCCGAGGAGCAGCCTGCAACAGTTTCTTCTTGCGTTGCTACTGACACCAACTTTGTACGGTCCACGGACGTCATGTTTGTACTGTCTACAAACACCATCTTTTCACTGTCTACTGATGCCATCTTTGCACTGTCAACACCACGGACGCCATCTTTGTACAGTCTATCTGTTAAACACTGTGTTTTCCGTATTTTGTTTTTTTTAGAGCAACAGATTGGTGCGAGTGAAGGTTGCTGCTGACGTATTAGCTCCTTTAGCCGTCAGCTTTGTTCGTGCAGTCATAAAAAAATCTTATGAACGTGTAACAACTTATAATTTATGTTGTGTATTTATGTTTAAGATCAAATAAACATCAGTCACAGAGTCCGGACTTTGGACCAGACTGAACCCTCTGACCTCTAATCTCTAACTCTGACCCCTGACGCTGACACATGTTATATAACATTGAAAATAAAAAGTTCCATTTAACATAAACTGAACTTTAAGACCAATAAATATTAAGAAAACATTGTGATAGTTGTCTGTGTTTAACATAAAATATGATAATCCATCCATCCATTCATTTTCTTCTGCTTCATACGTTTAGCAGTCTAAGGGCACAGTCACATAGGTTTATACTATGGATCTATAATAAGTTGATAGGGTATTACTAGCTTATAGCTGTCCCACTCATGGGCACAGGGGGGGCCATGGTACTGCAGACTACATTTTTGTGGGCTACCCAGAAAAAAGTCCCATAGAACTCAATGTAAACTAAAACAGCTCGACCTCAGCTGACAGAGAACCTACAGATTTATTGAAGATGGGACGGGGATTTTAGTGTCCCTTGTCATCCTGAGCAGCTTTGATTAGTCATAACGCAGCCGAGCCCCTCTGTGCATGTGCATGAGAACCACACACACGTATTTGGCGCAACACATCATGGAAACTCATCCACTGCGCAGAACCAGGAGGACCAGACAATGCCCAAATATAGGCGAGCTCCGCTAATCTATCGGCCCTCCTGTAAGTCCCATGCGCTACTGAGCACAAGCCATTCATTTGAATAGGGCGCCATCTTGGATCACCGGGGCTTGGTTTTTACAAACAAACTAGGCCCGAAGTGGCCCGCATCATCGCCACAGGGGTGTGAATACAGCCCGCGGTCACATTAGCTTGTTATTGCAAACGTGCCAGAGCAAGTATATAAGTATATTAACAGTGTGAGAAGTGTTAGAGGTGTTGGCAGAGTTAGCTGTTTCAGCTGTGGTAGCGGTGTTAAGCCCCGTCCCAATTCTCTCCCTAGATTTTGAGCGTGCCCGCGGGGGTTGTAGAGTGTCCCAATACTTAGGGAGGAGAGGCGAGGGCCCTCACACCCTTAAAGACCAGGGTGATCCCATGATGCATTACGATAGTTGTTGGTAAAGTAGCTGTTGAGCAAAGCCGCGCCACAATGAAAGAAACCAACGCCCTCTACAAGAAGGGCCAAAGCCGCCTCCACCTTCTGAGGAGGCTGAGGTTCTTGGCCCATTAGCTCCACACTCTCAGACTGTGTGTGTTCTAATGGACAAACAAATCACTTCTGTTGTGAAAACCAGCAATTTTCAACTACAGGTCTACTGTATCTTTGCAAAGTGAAAGCCTGTCTTCCCTTTTATAAGTTAGAGCATGTTTTGCACATGTTCATATCGTCCCGTCTCAACTATTGCAATTCTTTGTACTGTGGTCTGGACCAGTCGTCTCTTAACCGTTTGCAGCTTGTGCAAAATTCGGCTGCCCATTTGCTGACAGGAACCAGGCGTATTTCAAAGCATGGATGTACCAGCATGGAGTCCTGCCGAGAATACTCTGGCCCCTATTAATCTATGAGGTACCAAAAACAACAATTCAGGTACTGGAGAAGACCATCGGCCAGTTTTTGAGGAAATGAGTGGGTATCCCTCGGTCCTTGAGCAGCCCTTTATGGTCAATCCACCATGCTGCACCTCCCTCTCAGGGGACTGTCGGAGGAATTCCAAGTCATCCGCGCCAGAGAAGAAATGATGTACAGGGACTCTGTATGTCAAGGTCGCCTCAGCAGGGATTATCCTCAAGACTGGAAGAAAGTGGCACAAGACCCTGGTGGAAACTGTGGCAATTGGGAGGGCAGGTCTTGGGAGCTTTCCCAACCAAGCTAACCTATGGACGGGGCAGGTCTTGGGAGCTTTCCCAACCAAGCTAACCTATGGATGGGGCCGCGGTAAGGAGAAGCGCCAACTGGTACAAGACGAGATCCGTGCAGAGGTGGAGGAAGAACGTTGCAGCAGGATGGTCGGCATGTCCAAGCAAGGGGCGTGGAAAGGTGAGAACACACAGAACCTCTGCGCACAAAATTCCTCATACAGTCTGTGTATGATGTCCTCCCAAGTTCGGCCAACCTACACACCTGGGGCCTGGCAGACACCCCGGATTGCAAATTGTGCCAGAGAAGGGGCTCCTTTGAGCACATACTGAGCGGTTGCCCCAAAGCTCGAGGAGCAGTATCGCTGGTGCCATGACCAAATCTTACAGACCCTGGCAGATTCCATCTGTGCAGTGATACAAAACGGCAAGTCCCAGGTTGCCCGAAAGCAGGCAATCACCTTCGTCAGAGAAGGACAGAAAGCCGACCTCCACTCACACTCTTCAGGAGGGCTCCTCGCCACTGCTCGTGACTGGCAGCTCCAAGTGGATCTGGGAAGGCAACTTAAATTCCCAGCAATGATCGCCACCACTGTACTCCGCCCAGACATGGTGTTAACATCTGAGTCAACCAAGCAAGTGGTACTAGTGGAGCTAACAGTTGGGGTAACAATGTAGGTAACAATGTAGGGGTTTCACAAGTCACTCACTCCAGTGAGTGATCAAAATCCTTGGCTTTAGAGGAGGCAGTCAAGAAGAGCCACCAAGAACATCCTTGAGGCCGCAGAAAAGGCTTCCTGGTGGCTGTGGATCCGTTGTGCGCTACTTGGACACAAAGGTCGCCCGGGCGAGGGCGTCGATGATTAAAGACTTGGCACCCTATGAGGCACCCTATGACCCCAGGTCCATCACTGATGACGTGTCTAAGTATCGCCTTGAGGTGTATTTAATTCTTCTTGCAGCACTTTGGGCAGCGTTTGATGTTGTAAATGTGCTATAGAAAAAAGCATGACATTAACAATGACATAAATAGTCAAAGGCAGTCTAATGTAAATATAATGACTAGTGCTGGATTGCTATAAATGTCTACATACTATATATAAGCTTAATATGTAATTAATATGATTACATATACATGGCAATGACGGATAAATATAAATAGTCATAATAGTATTGTAGTTTTAATTTTCCTTTCAGAGAAATCCAGGGATTCTGTTGAGGTAGTACAGGGAACATAGCTGAGTGGATAGCACTTTTGCCTCTCAGCAAGAAGGTCCTGGGTTCGAATCCCGGTCGGACCAGGGCCTTTCTGAGTGGAGTTTGCATGTTCTCCCCGTGTCTGCGTAGGTTTCCTCCGGGTACTCCGGTTTCCCCTACCACTAAAAATATGTCCAATAGTTCTGGCATGCGCTTCCTGTACTGGCGACCCCGCTCCCATCTCTGTGTGGAGTGGGAGACAAATGCCCAAAATTAACAATTGTAAACCGCTTTGAGACTCCGATCTGCAGTGAAAAAGGCGGTATATAAATAAAAGATTACTAAAGATTACATAAAATGGAAAGAGAGTGTAAACATAATACATAAAGTTTTTACGGACAAAATCTTTGAGGTGTTTGACGGAAAGTCAACAATCATTAGATATAAAATCCATTTATGGTAGTTTTTCCAGTTTAGTGTCCAAATTTGAATTTCATAGTTTTTCATAATAATTTTTGATATTAAAATATGTCTTCAATAATTGTAATATTCCAGGAATACATAATTTTTGGTGTGATCTCTATGGCCAGGTAATTTGGTTTTTGATTAAATAGGTAGTTCTGCAATTAGAAACCTTCAAACATGGTACATCAAAATGTCAAAATTGCGATCAAAATCACAACCTTGACATTTTTTTTCATTAACGACAGGGATTCTATCAGTGGAACTTTTTCACGGCTATACGTAGCTATTTAGCCTTAACACACATCCTGGAACGAGAGTCAAATTCTAGACCTCTCTCATGAACTAGCACATGGCCTTTATCTGGATAATGATGGTCAGATCTCCTCTCTCTTCCTCCTTTATCCTGTGCCTCCTCCTCTCTCCTGTGCCTCCTCCTCCTCTCTCGTGTGCCTCCCGTCTCCTCCTGCTGTAATGCTGTCTGGATGATAATGATGGTCAGATCCCCACATGAGTCCAGTGTATTCTGGGTTGTCCCTGAGGACACGTCAGCACCTGTCCCTGTGCGTTAGCTCTGCAGCATCTGACCACTCCCGTCTCCATGGAGACCGCATCCTCAGTCTGTGGAGCCCCCTTTTGGGGTCTGATGCTACAAGCTCTGCCCATCTAGAGACTGACACGTTTTCCCATTCCTTTTTACAAAACAACAACTCTGTCAGATGAGGTGAGAGCGCTTGTGCACAGCAGTTTCACAGAGTTAGGTCTGGATCAGTGTGGCGGGTCCCAGTGTAACAGGCTGTTTTATACAGCCTAGGCCAGTTTATACCCCGGGTATAAACTGGCCTAGGCCAGAATATATCCCTATTTTAACCCCCGTAGGCCAGATTAATTTTTATTTTATATAATAATAATACAAAAATATAAGTTATTCAATATTTCTTTTATACTTCAAAATTATTGTAAATCATTTAGAAGTAGTTTGTTTGTTAAATACTCTGTCGCCCTAATTCGAGTGATTGCTTTTCAAACTTTGTTAGGTGATGAGTCAATGTACTGTATCTACTTACTTACTGTACTCGTCACATAGAATTACTCTGTTGTAGAAGTAGAACTAGATGTGATGAGTCAATGTATCTACTGTACTTACTTACTCGTCACATAGAACTACTCTGTAGTAGAAGTAGAACTAGATGTGATGAGTCAATGTATCTACTTACTTTTTACATGAAACTGATAGAACTTTTAA